GCCGCTGCAAATGAAAGATGCGGAAAAATAACGGTACCGTCGGCTCCACCGAGAGGTAGAAACACACCACCTCGAAAGCCCGGATGAAAGCCAAAGCGTTTGGGTGCAGCTGAGACGGGGCAAGACGCAGCCAGTCAAAAAGCCCCAGATGGAAGGCGGAAAACGGTAACCGGAGCCGAGCTTCTTTAAAATAAAACTCATACATCGGGAACATCTTCCGCCCATATCGCGAACAGATCCGGTGGTGCTCTTTCGGGCGGTACACCTGCCAGTGTTGCGTTTCTCCTATCGGCGTGTCCTCGACCGTGGCATACACGTCGGACGAGTCGACCACAAAGCAAGAGGGGATGGAAAGTGGCTCCTCGGCCCCCCACTCCTCGGACGGGGCGATACGCTCGTCGTCATACTCCGGGACCTCGGGTTCATTATCTTCAACCATTATCCCCGGCACCAGAGCCGACATCTACACCTGAAAGCAAAGGACATCGGTGAATTCGATAGCCAGGATCAAATCCACCCTTCCACCGCAAGTCAAGTGAAAGGGCGACAAAGGCCGAGAAGCGACGAGCAGACATTCGCTCCCCGTCTACCCTCCTCGGGGATCGAAGAACGACCCCTCACCCCCTTCGGGACGGCCGTCGGAGAAGGTACTTCTCCCCGGGGCATTCATCAGAAAAAGCCCCCGTCCTCGGGGCATTCATCGGAGAGAAGCCCCCGTCCTCGGGGCATTCATCAGAAAAAGCTCCCGTCCTCGGGGCATTCATCGGAACTAGCCTACCGTCCCCGGGACATTCATCGGAAAACTCGCCAGACACGGCGGGACCCCGCGTCCCTCCTCGGGGCGTTCATCCCGCCCCGACCACACGTTCCAGTTAGACGACGGAAATAAAAAGAGAGGGAAAAGAGGAACTCACTTGTAACGGCGGCGGACGGAAGAAAAGAGCGAACGGTACGACGGCGATCGGCGGCAAGCGGCGGACGAGCAGAGACGATAAAAGATTAGCAGGGAAGAAAGTAACAGAATGAGCGAGGACCGCCATATTTATAACCCGGCGCGGGACTCGAAGCGACCCTAGGCTCATTAATGACATAGGTTAGCCGCCCCTACGACCACTCAACACAAGACACGTGGCGGCAACCTGACAGTCGCGTCCCTTCACCTGCCTCCTCCCCGTTTCTGCCGACGACCGGAGTCCTTCGTGCAAGTCCCCGCTCCAGACACGACGACCTTAAGTCCTCGCTCTTCCCCAGAGCTTCGACTTGGGGGGCTCCTGTTCCGGTATGGGCCTCACCTCGGCAGGCCCAATACCACATGCGGCCCAACAAGCGAACTGGGCCCGCCTGGCACGCGCCCCTTTCGAACGGGCAGGGCTGGCCGCCGGGCACAAGCTACTTCTCCACGTCCTTTATTGTCGTCCGTCACGCCGGGCGAGCAGGACCACCCGGGCTCCCCTCCGCGGGGAGAATAACGTGCTCAGCGCACGTTCTCCACGTACTCCCCTCTGCGGGGACACGTCATCGGCCAACCGCCCACCTCCGAAAGAGCAGGTCAAACCCACTTTCCGGAGACCTAGGAGCGGTTGAACTAGGGCGAAGACCACGTCCTGGTCTTCACTACGCCACGTAAGCCCTAGCAGTCATTAGGGTTGGGCCTGGTCGTCCGGCCCACCTCGAATGACCGTTGGCCCAGCGCTGGGGTCTCTCTATAAATACCCTCTTCTTCAAGAGGGTCAGGGAACTCTTCTTGCCCCTTTTTCTGTACTACTGCTTCCTCTCTGTCCAACTTCTTACTTGGGCGTTGGAGTGCTTTGCAGGTACACCCCCTCCTCTTTCTCACCCCGGCGAACAGATAACCGTCCAGCGGAGTGTGGCCAGTCCGTGATCCCTCCTGATCAGGTCAGATCAATATATATATATATATATATATATATATATATATATATATATATATATATATATATGTATATATATATATATATATATATATATATATATATATATATATATATATATATATATATATATATATATATATATATGAAAATGAAAAACATATAAATAAGAAAAACAACGAATACATATAACACCTGTAGAGAAATCACCAACTTCTAGAACTACACAGTAAGAGTCTTAGAAACGATCACAATCTTCACAAGTAACCCCTATAACAAATTAACATGCAAAATTAGTTCATGTTTTCATCAACAACATCAACATCATCATTAACAACATAAACATTAACAACATCAACAACAACATTTGGAATCGCATTTAACAACGTCAGAAAATGATACATTTGGTATGAAGCAACTAAACTAAGTAAGCTAAACAAAAACAATGAATACCTGTAGCACTTGTAGAAAAATCACCAACTTCTAGAACTACACAGTAAGATTCTTGGAAACGATCACAATCTTCACAAGTAACCCCTATAACAAATTTACATACAAAATTAATTCATGTTTTCATCAACAACATCAACATCAACATTAACAACATAAACATTAACAACATCAACAACAACATTTGAAATTGCATTTAACAACGTCAGAAAATGATACATTTGGTAAGAAGCAACTAAACTAAGTAAGCTAAACAAAAACATCGAATACCTATAGCACTTGTAGAGAAATCACCAACTTCTAGAACTACACAGTAAGATTCTTGGAAATGATCACAATCTTTACAAGTAACCCCTATAACAAATTAATATACAAAATTAATTCATGTTTTCATCAACAACATCAACAACATTAACAACATCAATATTAACAACATCAACAACAACATTTAAAATCGCATTTAACTATTAAGCAACTAATCAAAATTTGTCTAATTCTCATGTAACTATTAACATAATAAGAACTCTTTTCAAAAATCATATAACAGAGTTATAACAGAGTCCAAAATGTTAAAGCTAATTCATTTCTTAACAAACTATTCAAAATCGTTAATTTTTAAAATCTTATTATAGGTACGAAATATATAATATTGTTTATTAAGTAATTTTAGAAAACAAAGTGAGTTCTAATAATATCACTCAAACTCAACCTATAAATTTTCCTAAAACCAGAATATATAAAATGCAAAGCTATACCATAAACCGCTAAAAACCAGAATGTTATTCATACTGTCATATAGAAAAACTAGAATGTTATTCATACTATACAACTGAAGCATGATTGTTAAACTACTCCTAGTATCCTTTTTTCTGATGCAATTTTTTCTTTAAAAATATGGCAAACTTTGGGAGGTAAAAATAATATAATTTATTATGCAGACTGCAGAGAAATGCTACTACTACCATAAAGATTAAGAAAAGTTGTCCTTAAAATCTCAACACAAAATATCCTAAAAATAAAATTTCTAAATATCCTAAAAATGAAGTTACTGTTACTGCTCCAGATTTCTTCGTCAATGAGATTAAACTAAACTATAAACTCTATAAATAAAAACAACAATAACAGCAAGAACACAACAATAACAGTGGTGAGAAAATGAGAGAGAGCGTACAGAGGGAGCACGACGGAGGGCGATGGTTTAGTGGTGAGAGATTGAGAGAAAACAACGAAGATACGACGAAGACGGAGGGAGCACGACAGAGGGAAAAGGTTTAGTAGTGGAGAGAAAACGACGGAGGGAGCGAGCGCGAGAGAGAGATAGAAAGAAATAATCTGAAGTGTGAAATGAAATTAATAATGAAAAGTCTGTTTTATTTTTAAATAACTAAAGACTTATAGCAGCGCTTTTTTCCTTAAAAGCACTTTCGTAAATCCCATCTTTAGCGGCGCTTTTAGAAAGCACTTTCTAAAGTCTGCCTAGGGTAGGACCTTTAGCAGCGCTTTCTTAAAAACGCTTTCGTATTCCCCCCTATAGCAGCGCTTTTAGAAAGCGCTTTCGTATCCCCTCTATAGCAGCGCTTTTAGAAAGCGCTTTCGTATCCCTTCCTATAACAGCACTTTTAGAAAGCGCTTTCATATCCCCTGCCTATAGCAGCGCTTTCTATAGTATTACAAAATTACAACCTTTAACAGCGCTTTCTAAAGCTTGTGATTTTTTTTTATAAATCTTTTAACAACACTTTTAATAAAAGCGCTGTCTTTTCTACGCTGCCAAATTTTAATTTTGGCATAGTGTAAGAGTCATATTGATTCTCTTTTCTCCCAAATACCTTTATCCAACCCACCTTTTCCCAACAACTCCTCAGCTTTTATGGTAACCATGCAACTTATAATCATATTTCAAAAATGATATTCTCGCCATGGTGGAATCAACATTGATCTAACTCCTATCATGATGATATTATGGACTTGTTCTTGTGGGTCAAAATTTTAAGAATAGATTACATAGGACAAAAGGCTATTTAAATACACTTATAGAGAAGATATTTGATTGGTAATACCAATCTCTATGTTAGCTTAATTTTAGTTGCAATTTTTCTCCTTTGTAAAGTGGAATATCCTCTTTGATCGACAGAGTTTTTCATCATCACATGACAAAAAAATAAATCCATCCAAGTGATTTTACGACTCCATATATTTTATAATCACTTGATATTAGTGCTTTGATTGAATAATTAGAAAGGATGCTCCTCTCGTATATTTAATTATGTTATATTATAAATTTTTTGACGGTACACACACATGCGCGCGCACAGACACACATACGCGCACACACATATATTATAAATAGAGATTTTGATGAACATATATATATCATCATATGTAAAAGGTATAGTAAAAGAACTGAAATAAAAAAGTAATAAATATCTAAAAGTAAAAAATATTATAAATTAGTATACAACACAAAATAACAACAAGTGTTATGTCATAGCAAAACACAAAAAGGTATTTATTACCATATATATAATGAAAAATTTCAAAATAAACCAATGCTTAAACATTATAAATTATTCATACGGTATTACATAAAATTCAAATTCAAGCATCTGAATTTATTTGGTAAAAAACCTATTTTACATATTTTAGACGTTGTATTAATTAGACATATTTCATAAACTCGTGGTCATTTCCCATTGCCTCTAAAATTTCATAAGGGAGACATACTTGAAGGTCCACACTACCTTCTTCTATTCCCATATACACACTGACATACCCATTTATCTTTTTTTCAGTGCGAGTTGCTACAGGTTTTCCCCATCCAAAATCATTATCATAAACATCAAAACGAGGAGAACTACCGATCAATAAGAAATTATTATATAGCATGCTTTCAATATTTATAAGTCTTGGATTTATCAACCAAGACTCATATTGATTCTTCAAACTAATATCAGAGTGTGAAGCAATTTTTTTGTTTATCTCCAAAGCACCTTTAGCCAACCCACCTTCCAACAACTCCCCAGATTTCATAGTAACCACACTACTTATAATTGCGTTTCCAAAATAATATTCTTCTAGTGGTGGAACAAACCTTGGTCTAACTCCTATGATGAAGATACTATGAACTTCTTCATGCGGTTCAAATTTTTTAGCACGAGTTACACAACACCAAAGATGAGTTAAAAGTGCTTGTAGGGAAGATATTTTGTTGGTACTACCAATCTTTGTGTTGGCTTCGAATTTCAGCTGTGCAATTTTATCCTTTGTGAAGTGAAATATTCTCTCCATTAGACGTTTTTCGTTATGAGACAACACAAAACTCAATCTATCTGAGGGATTATCCTGTGGCTCCATAGTAAAAGGAAATCGTATGGGAAGTTGAATATCTTTTGGAAACCAACGCTCAAATGTTGGAACTTTTGATATTTGATGAGGATGACAATGACTACGTGAAATTTCAGCCCATGAATTGATGAAATGCCACATGGACTTTCCGTCAGCGACCACATGGTTAAACGTGAAGCCAATGAAAACTCCATCAACTAGCTCCGTGACCTGAACCGCCAACAATGGATTCGACGTTCCTTCACAGTTTCTAACTCCATTTAAAGGAAAAAATGAATGGACAATCGGAGGAACATATGTGGATTCTAAGATATCAGTAACACAGGTATTCTCTGCTGCAGCATGGATAAAGAGTACACCTTCATTGTTGCAAATAATACAGCAAGAAACTGTGTTATCTTTGTGTTGTGTTATTTCGAGACGACCTGCAAAAGGTGGAAAAATGGCAAGGGCAGAGGATAGAGAGTGTTTCAGCTCTTGAATTTGGTTGTCTCCTAATGAATGATTATAAAGAAGACCTTTTTTGTTGATACAACTTGGGAGAAATTGGAGATCCCATGGAGTCAAATCGATTTTATGATAACTTGATATTGGTGCCTTGATTGAATTGGAAGCAAGGACTTTGATGGAATCCATCTATTTATTTAAGGTTCTTATAGTTTTTTTTTGGGGGTAAAAGAAGTTGTATTCTACATTGAGGCTTGAATGAATATGTAGCATTTGTTTTTATATTACAAAATCAATGACAATCAAATCTAAATTTATGGCACTTTTAAATTGAGATTTCATTTTCTCCATCTTTTAAAATTTATAGTTTTTTTTTTTAAATATCTTGAGCTTCAAAAAAATTCATTTTTTAAATAAATTATATTATACTGTATTTGTTAATATCTTAAGCTTCAAAAATTCAATTTTATTTATTTATTTCAAGATGTTTAAATTTTAATAAAGATGTTTAATTTTTTTTAAAGATTAGATTATATCTTGGATTTCAAACGTTTGATTTTTTTTTCATTTGAACATGTTTGAACTTTAATAAAGATATTTAAAAAAATATATTTTGAAGTAGATCAACAAAAAATTGTTATAATATTAAATAGATAAACAATTTATATAATCATACAAGTTTATAATTAAGAGATATAAATACATAATACTCACTCACAAATTTTTTCACATAAATTGTTCTCTAAAAATATGTAATTTAACAAACTTCAAACACGTGATATTAATAATATATATATTTTATATATAAAAAAATATCTTCCTCAAAACTTTTTTTGTTATAAAAACGATTTTAAAAAATATAATTAAAGTAAAACACGTATTATTAAATATACAATTAAAAATAATTTTAAATAGTATAAAATAAATATTTTAAAAAAATATTTTTCTATAAATACAATGAAGGTAGTCATGTAAGTAGAGGGTTGTCGGTGGCGTTTAGGATTGTCATAATGTTGAAATTTTTGAGTTTTTATGTTTGTTAGTCTATTTTATACTTTGTGGATTGTCTAATATTGATAATCCGAGTCATTGTTTGCCCAAGCTTAAAAAGCGTTAGTTAAGAAGGATCATTTCTGGTGTGACACTTATGAATTGTGGTTGGAGAAGGTGATGGTGGACCTCCGGAAGCCCAATTATTTAAGTTTTTAATTTCTATGTTTGTTAGTCTCTTTTACACGTTGTGGACGGTCCGATGTTGAAAATTCGAGTCCGTATTAGTCCAAAGTTGGAAAGAGTTAGCTGAGAAGGATCATTTCTAGTGTAACACTTTTGAATTGTGATCTCAGAAGGTGATGGTGAACCTCTGGGAGTTTGATTGTTAGTTTGCGAAGGTGATGGTGGACCTTCGGAAGTCTGATTGTTTAAATTTTGAATTTCTATGTTGGTTTATATTTTACACGTTTTGAATGGTCTGATGTTAAAAATTCGAGTCAATGTTGGTCCAGGAATGGAAAGAGTCGGTTGAGAAAGACATTTTCGAGTGTGACACTTTCGAAATATGATATAGGAAAGTGATAGTGGACCTCCAGAGTCTTTTTTTTATATAAAAAAATTCTATTGTTGTTAGTCCATTTTAAATGTTTTGGATGGTCAAATGTTGAAAATTCGAGTCGATATTCGTCTAGGATTGGGATGAGTAAGTTCAGAAGGACCATTTCTACTGTGGCACTTTTCAATTGTGATATGGGAAGTTGACGACAGACCTCTAGAAGTCTAATTGGTTAAAATTTTGATTGTCTATGTTTGTTAATTCGATTTACACATTGTGGATGATTTAATGTTAAAAATTTAAGTTTATGTTCGTCTATGGTTGAAAAGATTCAATTGAGAATGACCCTTTTAAATCTTACACTTGTGAATTATGATATGAGAAGGTGATCGTGAACCTCTGGGAGTATGATTGTTTGAACTTTTTTATTTTTTATGTTGGTTAGTCCATTTTACACGTATTGGACGGTCCAATATTGAAAATCCAAGTCAATGTTTGTCCAGGGTTGGAAATAGTCACCTGAGAAGGAAATTTTTTTAGTGTGTCACATTTGAATTGTGATATGAGAAGGTTATGGTTGAGCTCTAGCAGTTCGATTGTTTAAGTTTTTGAATATCTATGTTCGTTAGTCAATTCTACACGTTTTAGATTGTTTGATGCTGAAAATTTAAGTCGATGTTCATCTTGGGCTGGAAAGAGTCAGTTGAGAAGGATATTTTATAGTGTAACACTTTTGAATTGTGATGTGGAAAGGTGATTATGGACTTATGGAAGTCGAATTGTTTAAATTTTTTAGCTTCTATGTTCGTTAGTCGATTTTATAAGTTTTTTTTACATGGTGATGTTGGAAATTTGAGTTGATGTTTGTCTATGGTTAGAAAGAGTTAGTTGAGAAGGAATTTTTCTTGTGTGTGACACTTTTGAGTTATGATCTAGGAAGGTTATCATGGACCTTTGGGAGACTGATTATTAAATAATTTGAATTTACATATTTGTTAGTCCATTTTATACGTTTTGGATGGTTTGATGTTGAAAATTTGAGTCCATGTTCGTCCATGGTTGAAAAGACTCAGTTGAGTAGAACCCTCTATAGTGTGACACTTTTGAAATGTGATATGGGAAAGTGATAGTGCACCTCTAGGGAGAGAATTGGATCTTGGTTGGGGATTGTTAGTTCCGCCGAGGCAAATTGCGTAAAGCACCTCCTAGCTTGGTTCCTTCATCTATCTTCTGCATGTTCTAACGTGTTTGCTTGCTCGTTTTGGTTCATATCTTGTTGGTGCATCTGGTGGATGCGTAATCAAATCATTTTTAACGATGTCGTCGGGGATCCAGTTGCCTTATTCGATAAAATCACTCTTGTCTCATGGCGTTGGCTGACTTTTGGTAACGAAACTAAAAGTAGATGTTTGTTCTATGATTGGTTAAAATGTCCGCTAGATTTCTTGTAATCTTATTTTCTGTACATTTTGTTAGATCACCCTTGTGTACCTTTGTGTTTTGGCACCCCAGGTGCCTCATTTATGAATTGCCCTTGCTTATAAAAAAAGGATATATTAGTTTTGTTTTTTTTAAATGACTTATATTGTGTAACATAATTTTGTGAGAACAAATTTTATAAAGAAACTTTTTATAAAAGATTCAAATGAAAATTTAGTTTGAATAGTTACTTTCAAAATATTATTTTATATATTTTATCATTTTATTGAAAAAAAATTGAATATCAAAATTTTTAAAAATTACTTAATTTTGAAGCTATTTCAAATAGATTTTTTTATAAAAATCATATTTAAAATACAACATTTAAAAAAAAAATTGCGATTTCGACTATATTTTGATCATCAATAATATATGTTTATATTCTAGGATATCAAAATTAGTATTTCAATTTCAAAAATACAAATATGAAAAAAAAATTAATATTTTAATTTTTTTTATAAAATTCATTTTAAAAAATACAAAAAGAATCATTTTTTAAAAGCAAAATAAACAAATTCTCAATGTCATATCATTTTTTATTTTATTTATTTTTTTTAAAAATTAAAATAATTTACACTAAAATATCAATACCAAACTAAAAACTCACGTGTATGTAAGAGTTTATCAAAATATAATTATATTTGTTGTAATGGGTTATCTATAAAATATATTAAGACAAAACTTGATTTTGATGTAGTATAATTTTCTATCAACTTTTATTAAATCATATTATCACCTTTCACATAAAATTTTACTAATAAATTTAATTTAAATTAACATTAAATAAAAAAAATATTTTTACCTGTGTATTAAAAAAAAAGAGACATATACCAGCACTGGACGCTAGTCTTAATAAATTGCATTCATTAAGCACTACAATTTCATAAACAACACGTTGTTATTAATGCGATGCATAAGAAGGTAACGTATGTGGCCTTCCACATAGGCATCGGTCCTTCCTACACAATTTGCAAAATTTATTTCAAGGGCTAAGGTAATTTTATATTTTCTTAAAAGTAAAATTTATATACTAAAATAAAAATTCTTTTAAATAAATTATCAAAGAAATTATTTTTCAACAAAAAAAATTAAATATAAAAGGAGTAATAAAATGGCGTAAGAACTATAAAATTATACATAAATGCTATTTAAAATGATACATATTTATAATAACAGTTAAATCCATAGATAAAACTTTATTTTGGAGATATAATTTGTTGAATCTTGTATAAATTACCGTGAGTATAAATACTTTAGAATATATCTACGACAAATAGATTTTTACATACGAATTTTAACTCTCACTATAAACATACGCCATTTCAAATGACGTTTTTGTATAATTTTATAATGCGTGCACCACTTTAAATAATTACTCTTTTTACGTCCGTTTAAAAAATAATTATCTTAATAATTTATTCAAAATATTGATTATTTTAGTATATAATTTAAAAAATATATAGTTATTTTAAAAAAGAATTTATAATTTTATTCCAATCAATTGATCCTTAAAAAAAACTCAACCTAATTGGGTGCATATTTTTTCTTTTGCAAAATAATAGTGTGTTTAAATTTAAAATTTAAAATTAGGGGTGTTTGGGATAATAGTTTGGTTTAGATCGATTTCTAACAAAAAAAAAATTAATTTGAGAGAAAGATAAAATTGTTTGTTGTTCGATTCAGTTTTAAATAATCAGTAAAAAAATTCACCTGATTCAATTTCACGCATTTTAATATGAATATGATTTTTATATCTATATATAGTAAAAATATATATAACACTAAAAATATAATAACTTAGAGTAAATAATAGGTTTTTGCATATAATATATTAAAATTAGTATTACAAAATGTTGAAATAAATAAAATAATAAAATAAATAAATTAAACTAAACTAAAAATTATTTAAAAAGTAAATATCATTGAATAATAAGTTAACCTAATATATTTTATTAATAAATAAATAAATAAATAAATAAATAAATACTAAAATATGTACATACATTTAGGTTTTAAAAAATAAATTTAAAATTCGATTCAAACTGAACATTTTTTATAAAATAATATTCAAATACATTCAATAATATTTAATTTTTTAGATCAATTTACTATTTTTATTTAAATCGATTTAAATTTGAACACTTCTATTTAAAAAGTTGTT